TAAAAATAGGGCCTGGGGTTGTGGCTCAGCAGTAGAGTATTTGCCTAGCACGTGTGAGGCCCTGGGTTTGATCCTTAGCACCACATATAAATAAATAAATAAAATAAAGGTCTTAAAAAATAAATAAATAAAATAAAGGTATTGTGTCTAACTACAACTAAAAAAAACTTTAAAAAAAGTATATTCACACCATTCATGTCTTCATACATGTACTTGGGGTAATAATGTCCATCTCATTCCACCGTCCTTTCTCTTTGTAGTTCTCTGATTACTAATAAAAATGGGCACTCTTTCATGTGATCATTATGCTATGTTTTCTGAGAACTGCCTATCCATATTTTTTGCCAAGTTTTTTCCTATTAGGTCGTACTTTTTTGGTTTAGAATATCTTTATATTTTTTCAAACAAATTTTCTTAACAGATCTCCTCTGTAGGTTTAAAGCTTATATTTTCTTTGTGTTATTTTTTGATGAACAGAAGTTGGTTTTTTTTTTTTTTTTGGTACTGGGGATTGAACTTAGGGGCACTCAACCATTGAGCTGCATCCCCAGTCCTACTTTTATATTTTATTTAGATACAGGGTCTCAGAATTGCTTAGCACTTCGCTTTTGCTGAGGCTGGCTTTGAACTCATGATCTTCCTGCTTCAGCCTCCTGAGCCATTGGGATTACAGGTATTTACCACTGCACCCGGCAGAAGTTATTCATTTTAATGAAATCATACACATTAATCTGAATCTTTTTGTGTGTGTTGTCCTGTTTAGAATATTCTTCCCTATCCTGAGTCTATGAGATTATACMGTTTTATCTACAAGTTTTAAAATTTCATCTTTCACATTTTTTAATCTAACTAGAATGAATTTTTTTGTATGGTAACAAGGAAGAAATCTAATATTGTTTTCACATATTAGTTAGATTGTCTAGTACCATTTGTTGAAGAGTCTCAATGATCTGCTCCATTGATCACCAGTGTTTCATATATTCACAGATCTGTTTGGGGAGCTCTCTATTCTGCTTCATTGGTTTATATTAATGTCAATATCATATAATTTTAATTACCACAGCTTTCAATAGGACTTGGTATCTCCTTGCCTTATTTTAGAATACTTTGGCTATAAATTTTAGAATCAACTTGTCAAGTTCTTTAAGCAACYTGCATGGAATTTCATTGGAAATGCAAAATCTAATGGATCAAGCTGAGGAAAATAGTCATTTTTATAATACTGAGTTTCTATATATATGGATATAGTATATATTCCATTTATTTAATTTTCCTTAATATCTTTCAAAAATGTTTTATAATATTTTTTATAAAGGTCCTAAATATCTTGCTAGATTTATTATCAAGTAACATGAATTGCTGATCACATAAATGATTCCTTCTTAAATAATATTTGTAAACATTTTATTTTCGGATGCAAAGAAATATAACTGACTTTTAAAAACTAATATTGTAGCTAAAAAAACCTTTATAAATTCATTACTTCTAATAATTTTTAAGTAGATCCATTTGGATTTCTCTTGGTAAACAACTGTATAGCAACAGGAATAGTGTTAATTCAATCCTTATAATTTTTGTTTCTTTCTCCAATTTTACTAAATTAGCAAGGAGTTATAATATAATGTTGAAGTGAACTGGTTCTTTTTCAATATTTCAAATAGTATTTTATTTTCTTAGATATTTGAGGCAAGATGAATATATCTTTGCTAATAACAATTTTATATTTTCCATTCCAGTTTTAATTTTTTTAGTCTCCTGATCTTTAATGATTTTTAAATTAAACATATATTTTTTTTAGTTGTAGGTGAACACAATACCTTTATTTTAGTTTTATGTGGTGCTGAGGATTGACCCTAGTGCCTCACATGTGCTAGGTGAGAGCTCTACCACTGAGCCACAACCCCAGCCCTCTTTAATGATTTAAGTTATGAGATATATTTCCTTCCCTTTATCCCTTAGATAACTTGAAGACTTTACAAAACTCAATTCTRTTGCTAATTGTTTCTGCTGACTTTCACTTGTGAAAGACAGTATAGTATTTCTAAAACCTTAAACTCAAGCCTGGATTCCTGGTTGAAATCATACTTTGCTACCACTTACTAAGCAGTGTAACTTTTGGCAAATCATTAACTGCTCTAAACCTCAGTTTCCTCAGCTAAAAATTTTAGAAATAAATTTCCACCTAAAAAAACTTTTGTACAAATTACATAAGGACTTGGCACATATCAAGGCTGCCTGATTCTATGGGTCTTCTGTGATTTTTAAACTTGTGTTTGTTAGAACTTGATATATGGGAATTCACTTCTAAAGCCTGTATAAAGTGCTTTCCTCCAGGGGATTTGAGGGTACTGTGATTTAGACCAATTTTAATTATATTTCTCAGTTTATGGCATAGTGAATAATCTCTGATCTAGTTCCCTAGTCTACACAGGTCCAAGACACTGTCCCTAGTCTTCTTGCATACCAAAGCTATATTGATCAAGGAGATTTGAATGCATGTCTAAGAYAGATGGGGCTGCCTCAATGGTTGGTTTTATGCTTTTTGCTCAATTCCTAACCTTAACAGATATCTCTTACTTTCCTGTAGGCTTATCCAATATCTTCAAAAGGTGGTTTTTATATTTGCCCATTCTTTAAAAAATATCATATAGCCTACCTGGGCCTGGTGCCACATTCCTGTAATCCCAGTGACTTGGGAGGCTGGGGCAGAAGGATCACAAGTTTGAGGCTAGCCTTAGCAACCTAGCTAACCTTGTCTCAAAATAAGAAGGGTAGGGGATGTATCATAGTGATAGGATGCCTCTGGGTTCATTTCCTAGAACCAAAATAGAAAAAAATGTAGCCAAGGTCATATTATGAGAAAGAAAAGTCTCATTCTAGTAATTTTTAACAAGTTTCTTGGGTTATCTAGGTATACAAAGAAATGCAATTCTCATTCTAATATTTAAATAATTAGTTCCTTTTCTTATACTGCTACATTTGCTGGTTCCTGCCTTGTTACCAAGTTCATCTGCAGTGAATCTTGCTGTCAGTTTTTGGTTAAAGAAATATTTTATTTTTCAACAATTAAGTGCATCTATTATAAAGTTTTGTGGTGATCTTTATTGCTTTAAAAATACGAATCTTGGGCTGGGGTTGTAGCTCAGTGGTGGAGCATTTGCCTAGCACATGTGAGGCCCCGGGTTCAATCCTTGGCACCACATAAAAATAAATAAATAAAATAAAGATATTGTGTCYAACTACAACAAAAAAATAAATTTAAAAAAATATGAATCTTTTGTTCTATTTTTCTTATTTATGTGGAACTGAAAACAGAAGCACACAGTAATTTTWAAAATCTATTCTAGCCAGGCACAGTGGCGCACACCTGTAATCCCAGGGGCTTTGGAGGCTGAGACAGGAGAATTGCAAGTTCAAAGCCAACCTCAGTAAAAGCGAAGTGCAAAACAACTCAGTGAGACCCTATCTCTAAATAAAATATAAAATAGGACTGGGGAATGGCTCAGTGATTGAGTACTCCTGATCTATTCTGTATGTGACTATTTACCTTTTTTATTTCTAATACAATTTATTAGTACCTTTTTTCCCCTCTTGAACACAGTATAAAATGTTACCCATTATATGCATTTTCTCAAGCAGCAGTTACTCATATTTGATTTAAAGTTATGAGATATATTTCCTTCCCTTTATTCCTTAGTAATCTTTAAAATATATTGTGTATAGTAATGTTTAAAATAATTTAAGATTAAAGTAAATGTCTCTGGTAGTTAAATCACTCTGCTGTATTTTTATGAGCAAACTTTCCTGCTATATTTTATGTCTATGTATTATGTAGAATACCAATAACCCTCTCTTCTTTTGTTCTAGTCAATAGAAAGCAACAAATTATAGGATACTTTTTTTTTTTTAATTTGGGACAGGGTCTCACTAAGTTGCTGAGGCCAACTTCAAATTTGTAATCAATCCTCCTGCCTCAGCCTCCTGAGAATCTTGGGATTATAGGGATGCACCACCAAGCACACAGCTCTATATTTTGTTTTATCACATTGTGCTTTACAAGTAATGTGTTGATCCTACTTTATGATTCTATGTCACATTTTGGTAATACTTACAATATTTCATACTTTTTCATTATTATTATTTTATCTGTTAGGGCAATCTTTGCTGTTACAAATATGTTTTGGGGTATCATGAACAGTGCCCACATAAGGCAGCAAATTTATTTGATAAATATGTTCCCCCATCTCTTTCCCTCTCATTGGATTTTCCTATTCCCTGAGACATAATATTGAAATTAAGCCAATTTATAACCTTATAATGAAGGAAGAAAAAAATTGCACATCTTTCATTTTAAATCAAAAGTTAGAAATGATTAAGCTTAGGGAGGAAGGCCTATTGAAAGATGATAGGCCAAATGTTTCTTGGCCAAACAGGTAAACAAGCTGTGAATGAAAAGGAAAAGTTCTTAAAGAAAATGAGAAGTGTTACTCCAGTGAACACGTTGGAAAGTGAATCAGCCTTGATATGTAGGAAGTTTTAGTGGTCTGGGTAGATCAAACCAGGGACAATATTCCCTTATGCCAAAGCCAAATATTTGAAAAGTTTTGCCCAACAGTGCTATTTTCAAAGGTCACAATAAAACTGGAAGAATTCTAGGTCATATGCCATATTGAATAAAGAGACTAATCAATGGGATTCACTGATCCATTGGGAATAAACTAGACATAATAGTAAAATAAAATTGATATAAACCCCCTTCTTATTTCTAATTATACAATTTCAACTAGCATCTGGTTATGTTTTGAGATTTACAAAGCCTTACATATTTTTTTTTAATATTTATTTTTTAGTTGTACAATACCTTTCTTTTGTTTATTGATTTTTTATGTGGTGCTGAGGATCGAACCCAGGGTCTCGAATGTGCTAGGTGAGTGCTCTACCGCTGAGCYACAACCCCAGCCCAACCTTACATATTATGATTGTATAACTTTATCACCTACCTGTTTTTCATCAACCTTATTTCTCTTTTTAATTGGGGGTCATCTGTCTTAGCTGTCTGAGATGTTAGAGTCACAGGGGATGTCATCACCACAGTCTGTGGCAGTGAAGTAGCCGAAGGTGTGGTGCGGATCTGATATGTCTGCATATCTCCTGATGCAGCTGTGTAGTCAAAAAAGTAAGTTAATTGATACGTGTATTTGAAAGTACTTTGGGACACTTTCTATAGATAGTTAAATATACTTACTTTGTACAACCACCTGGTTGCTGGGCACAAGTATTTGTTGTCCATCAGAGGTCTGTGCATACTGTAGGATTGTGCCTTGCTGGGTACTGCCTGAATTTGTCATGGTTAATGTCTGAAGTCCCTGTACTCCATCGGTGCCTGGACTGGCCAACTGTAAGGCTCCATTTGGGGCAATGGCAACTTTAACCAAAGAGAAAAAATACTATTATAAGGCTGTATACACTAATTCAAAGCAGTAACAAATATTTATAATTACACCTATTTTAATTCCTTATTAAAACATATTTAAATGCAGTTCTACTTGAATTGTCAACCACTCTTGAGCTGAAAGAAAGATATGGGTGCACTAAAATAGATAAAACGACTGTGTGCAGTACAGTGGCACACACCTGTAATCCCTGCTACACAGGAAGAGTGCAAGTTTGAGACCAGCTTCAGCAACTTGGCAAGACCCCATCTCAAATTTTTAAAATAYAAGGACAAGGATGTAATTCAATGGTAAAGCATCCCAGAGTTCTATCCCTAGTACCACTAGGGATAAATAAATAGTGCATCTTTATAGTTCAGATGCACTATTTAAAATTCATCCTCAAGTTGTACAATACATAACTGATTGGGATAAATAATACATTCTGGAATCTGTGGGACACTTCATGCTAATTGCTAATGTTGTCACAAAAATTTGTCATTAAAAGAGGGCACCAATGGATTTTTTTTTTTTTTTTTTGAACAGTACTGGAGATTGAACCTAGGGCCTCATACATGCAAGGCAAACAATATACCACTGAGATCTCTCTACCTCTTTTAATCTTATTTGGAGTCAGGATCCCACTAAATTGCACAGGCTGACCTCAAACTTGCAATTTTCCTTCCTCAGCCTCCCAAGTAGCTGGGATTACAGGCTTGTACCACCACAACTGGCTCCAATGGCTTTTAAAGGGAACAGAAATATTATATTTTTTTTTTCAAAAGCAGCATTAAAAATTATAACTTCAAAATATCTTTAAATGGTTAACATTTGCCTATGGAAATTTTTCAAATAGAATAAAAGGTTATATTATGAAAAAATAGGTCATCTGGGATGGGGACTGTAGCTCAGTGGTAGAGCGCCAAGTAGCTGGGATTATAGGCATGAGCCATTAAGCCCATCTTAGCTCCACTTTCTATTGCTACCACTGTTAAGTGTATTACATGTTATTTACTTGATATTTTWAAAATGTAATCTCTTAATTTAATTCCTAGGGAAAATAAAGTCACTAGGAAGCCATTTATAGATCACATTACACAAACATTTTTCATTGGATTGCACTTGTATTAATGCTCTCCCCTCTTAAATGAAACAACAGAAGGCATGACCAAACAAAACACATTTAAGCATTATGCAATTCCCACATAACAAATCCCCTCCAGAATCTAATGCAGCATCCCTGTACCCTTTTAAAATAATTATCATACAACATTCCCCCTGCCTTATCCTTTGGCAAACAGGAAGCCAAAACACAATTTTGTGTGCTAATAATGGGAAGGGGGCATTAATTGAAAATAATTGCTTTCAGCACTTTCTAATCATCCCTACCTCACTGTCACACATACTTTAATTCATGACTTTAAAAGACAAATTATATTTTGATGTAGAGATTTGTTTTGATGTTATATTTGTAATTAGTTTCAGTCTTTCTCTGCAACAACACATTATATATACACACATTTCTGTATGTATAAATATATAATTTAAAACTCCTATTATCTATTCCTATTTATTTGCCTTAGGATGGGGGTGGCCACCCTCCACATCCTTAGGTAACTATTATTTTTTGGTATACCTCTCCCCAGTTTTTTTTATGTTCACACAGACTGATAAAGTGAGACCTACCCCCCCAACACACACACACGTAGAGGCATGTGTTTTGATGTTAAATAAATAATACAATATTATAATACAGAATCATTTTCATTTTTGCAACCTATCATCCTGTTCTTGTTTAACATGTRTTTTTACCTGATTTTGTTTATTCTAAAATTCAGTACAGTAGCCATTAACCTCATATGGCTATTAGGTAAAATTAAACAAAAAATGAGTTCCTCAATCTCACCAGTCACATTTTAAGTACTCAGTAGTCTCACCTGATTTAACATCTACTATGCTGGGTGATAACAGATTTAAACATTTCCAACATCACAGGAAATTCCACTAGACTCTGCTGCCTTAAATACTAGTTTGTATGTACTTATTTCAATTTGCCTAAGTTTCATGTAAAAAAGGGGTTTTACTTTTTCTTTTCATTCATTCATTCATACTGGGGATTGAAACCAGCAGTGCTCTACCACTGAGCTACACCCTAAGTGCTGTTTTTTTTTTTTTTCCTTGAGACAGGTGACGCTGGCCTCAATCTTCTCCTGCTTCAGCTTCCCAAGTAGCKGAAATTACAAATATGCACCATGACATCTAGTCAAAAACGGTTTCAGAATAAGCTATATTGATAGATAATTATTAATTTGCTAGTATGCTGCCTTTAAAATTTTGGGGTGAGTTTGTCAGTAATACATGTATGTGGCAAAGAAAATAATTTGTTTTGTTGAAACTGAAAGTGAACCTCTCCACTGCTATTAATCTCTGCTCCCAGTTTATTTCTTTACACAGGTATTCTATGTATATTCTTTAACTAACGTATTCATAATAATTTTAACTTGAAAGCTGATGATAGTACCAGGTCTTATTTGCAAAGGATATGGCTGGGAGTGAGCAGAACAAGGTTCTTTCCCTCAAGGAACTTATATTCTAATGGGGAGAACAGATCATAAATTAAGCTATAATTACACATAGTCTATAATTAAACTAATAGGTACTCTTAATTATCCATAAATGCTATAAAGAATAATGCACAAGTAAAAAGAATTTAAAAAATTAAAAAAATAACACAGGGGAATAAAGAAAATTAAAGGGAAGGGGAGCACATTTATTTTAAGAGTTGTCCTTGAAGGAGGTAGTACTTTAGGAGTGAGGATGCAAACCATGTCTGAGGAAAGAACATGCCAGCATGGAGGATGACAACTCTGAAGACCCTGAAGTAGAAACAAGCTTTGTGGACTTAAGGTACAGCAAATAGTCTGTGAATGAAATGCCATCCAGAGTGGTAGGCCAGACTAGATCCTGAATGTTGTATCTTATGGCACCTGGATTTTATCCTGTGACAGATAAATCACTTTAGCCATAGTATGGAAAACTGATTATTACAGCAAGAATGGAAGCAATGTGACCTTCTGTACTAATTCAGGTAAGATATTAAACCAGGGGCTGGGGATGTGGCTCAAGCGGTAGYGCGCTTGCCTGGCATGCGTGCGGCCCGGGTTCAATCCTCAGCACCACATACCAACAAAGATGTTGTGTCCACCGAGAACTAAAAAATAAATATTAAAAATTCTCTCTCTCTCTCTCTCTCTCTCTCTCTCTCTCTCTCTCTCTCCTCTCTCACTCTAAAAAAAAAAAAAAAAAAAGATATTAAACCAGATAGTGGTGGTGGTTAGAGATACTGAGAAGGTGACATATATTTTGTTGACAAGAGCCAGTGAGACCACCCCTTAGGGTTGGGGTTAAGGGAAAGATTACAAATAGGCAGCACACGTGAATTTTTTAGGGCAACAGAACTAGGTATTGACTGTGGTGGGTGGTGGTACACAACGGAACACATTTGTCAAAACTAATAAATTTATATACCTTGTTTTGGGCTAGGGGTATAGCTCAGAGGTAGAGTACTTGCCAGGAAAATTCTGAAAAAAAACTATATTAATATATAATAATTAAGTATGGAACTACATAAATGTAAGAATGTACAAAACATGACCTAGATATATATTAAATACCACCTTCCTCCTAAATTCTTAATTTTAGTAAGCTAAAAATAGACTTAAATATGTAAATCCCATAAACTAAGCAGAAAACAGGGGAAAACAYTGGATTTTTGACACCAAAATAAATTTAAAATGTAAAAAAATGAAACCAAGAAAGTACTAAAATGAGAAAAATCTGAGAGATCAAAGTCTTTATAGGTATTAACTGTAATTCCAAATACCATCAAAGAAAAGAAGCTTGAATAAATACATAAGGTGTGTGTATATATGTGTACATATGTGGTAGAATCGGTTCAATTTTGTAGTATGTTCAAAGTTTTTCACAAAAAATGTTGGAAGCAAAACCAAAAATTAAATTTAAAAAAATTCAAAGACGGCTAGTTCATTACATACACATTGTTAATTTTGTTAAATGGCATTTTAATAAACCAAAAGATTTTACTTTCTAAATTAGTCCAAAAAATTAAGTGTTAACACAAGTACAAATGACTAATATATATAGACTGTTTCTGAACATTAGATAAGAATATATACAGATCTGTCTGTGGTAGGTATTTCATTGTTCATCATTTATCTCCTCTGACTATAAGCTTTTCTTTCAAAAGGTAATGTCCACATTTACATTCTTAATAACTTTACCTTTATGCCAGTAGGTGCTCAGTTTGTTCTGTGTATTAATTTTTGTAACAATATTTTCAGATACAGAGATTTAATTAACCCTTGCTTATTCATGGTGGGCATGCTGTAAATCACATTGCAAAGTTTAAATTCTCTGATTCAAACTTCCTTAACCTCAAACTGAAAATTAAATGTTCATGTTTAATCTTTCATTATGTATCTAATCCAAATGTAATTTCCATTAGAATTAAGGTCATGGTTATAAATGGCTAGTGTCCAAGAGAGCAATCTGTATGAAGCAGTGTAGTTTTGGGGAAAAGTCTATCCCTAGATGAAGAAAAATCTAATTTTGAATCTTTGATTCATCACCTACAAGCTATGTGACTTTAGGAATATTATCTAACTTTCTGAGCCTCCATTTCTGCATAAATTGAAAACTGCCTACTTCACAAAGTTTCTGTAGGAGTAAATGGGATAATGCTAAAAAGAACTTTGCATTTTTCCTGGCTCAAAATGTTATCTATCTTTTATTAATTACCACTATTCTAGTATGACAGTCTTTCTACACACCACAGTTTTCCACTGAAAAGTYGGTTTTTTGTGTCTATCACATGGAAACGATTCCTATACATACTATACTGTCCGCTGCTAGTCTGATAGATCGGAGTTGGAACAGACATAGAAGTAACAGCAGAAACTCCAGGGTTTTCTCCGTCTCCTTTTCTGCCTCGTGTATCTTCTGAAGAGAGGTCTTTCAAAATTTTTCTGTGAAAAACACAACTCTATTAATGTTGGTAATGAGAATGCCTTTATTTAGAAAAAAAAAAAAAAAAACAGCCTTTTTCAATCTAAAGTTTAAAGTACAATATCTAGCCACATTTGGAGTGGAGCACATCTGTAGTCCTAGCTACTCTAAGAGGCTGAGGCAGGAGGATCACTTGAGCCCAGGAGTTTGAGACCATTGTGGGCAGCATAGCAAGACCCTGTCTCTAGGAGGRAAAAAAAAAAAAAAGCTTCTGCAAAGGAAATGATTAAGAGAATGAAGAGAAAGCCTTATAATTGGGAGAAAATCTTTGTCAGCTACTTCTCTGACAGGGAACTAAAATCTAGAATATAGAAAGGACTCAAAARATGCAATGCCAAAAATACAAATAGCCCAACTGATAAATGACCAGGGCTGGGGTTGTGGCTCAGTGGTAGAGCACTTGCTTACATGTGTGAGGCACTGGGTTCAAGTCTCAGCATTACATATAAATAAATGAATAAAGCAAAGGTCTATCAACAACTAGAAATAAATAAATGGACAAAAGAAGTAAATAGAAACTTCTGAAAAGAAAAAACACAAATGGCCAACAAATATATGAAAAAAATGTTCAGCATCTCTARGAATTAGGGAAATGCAAATCAAAACTAAACTAAGATTTCATCTCACTGCAGTCAAAACAGCAATTATCAATAATGTGAATAGGGCTATGTTTGTGGCTCAGTGGTAGAACACTTGCCTACCATGTGTGAGGCACTGGGTTCRATCACATAAATAAACAAAATAAAGATACTGTGTCCATCTACAATTAAAAAATGTGAATAATAAATGTTGCTGAGGACATGAGAAGAAAAATACACTCTTACATTGTTGGTGGGACTACAAATTAGTACAATTACTCTGGAAAGCAGTGTGGAATGGAACCACCATGAGATTCAGCTATCAGTGTTTATCCAAAAGATTTGTAAAACCAGCATACTACTCTACAATGTTTACAGCAGCACAATTCACAATAACCAAATTATGGAATCAACCCAGATGTCTGTCAATACCTGAATGGGTTAAGAGAATGTAGTATGTATACAATGGAGTTTTACTCAGCCACAAAGAAGAATAAAATAATGGCATTTGCCAGTATGGATGGAATGGAAAAAAATCATGCTAAATGAAATAAGGCAGACTCAGAAAATCAGAGGTCAAATATCACTCATATGTGGAAGCTAGAGCAAAATAAGGGAAAGAAGGCAGTGGGGGAGCAGGTTAGATATGAAGACACAGGAAAGATCAGTGGAGTAGATGTAGGAGAAAGAGAAAAAGGAAGGGAATAAGACGATGACAAATGGAATGAATTTAACAAAATCATGTTATATATTTACATATAAATATACCAAAGGGAATTTCACATTTATGTTTATGTAGAAGAAAAAAAATTTAATACAATAGAGAAGGGAGAATAGGGAGAGGGAGGAGGGGAGAAATAGGGGGAAATAGGACTTGAAATCAAGTTCCTTGAATGTATGATTTTGCCAAAATGAACCCAACTACTATGTATAGGCATGATGCCCTAATAAAAGTATTTTTTAAAGCCAATAATCTACTAGATCCTTAAACTATTCTGTCTAACAGGATTTAGTAGATTATTGGAATCCTTTTGTGTTTAGGAATCTATTTGTTTAGCATATCATAATAATGTGTACTTCAGATSAATTACACTGTAATTTATGACTGTTTAAAAAGAGACAGTAAAAAAAAATTAAAAAGAGACAGTCATACACTAAAGAAATACAGTGCCTTTCTAGGTAAAAGGACCTTACAGAGGCATAAAACACATCTCTTTCCCCTACAAAAGTGATGGTGCTATTGTGAGGAATTTCTTATATATATATTTATTTATTTTAGTTGTAGTTGGACACATCACCTTTATTTCACTTGTTTATTTTTTTCTGTGGTGCTGAGGATCRAACCCAGGGTCTCACACATGCAAGGCAAGCGCTCCRCTACTGAGCCACAACCCCAACCCCAGGAATGGAACCTGAATAGTTCATATTACCTGAAAAGTGCTAGGGAACTTCACTTAAGAAGGTCCATTTTGATTTTTTCTTTTTTAAACATTTGTTTTAGTTGTAGGTAGACACAATAACCTTTATTTTATTTTTATGTGGTGCTGAGGATCAAACCCAGTGTCCCATGCGAGCTAGGCAAACGCTCTACCACWGAGCCACAGCCCCAGTCCCCATTTTGATTTTTCAAACTCCAACTTTACAGAGGAAGAAAAGGCCACAATTCTCACAAAGAAACAAGATTAGAACTTCTACTACAATAAAAATGCAGAGTAATTGTGGTAAATAAAACAGCTTACTTGAACAAAAAAATAAATATCTCACAGAGGTATCCCTCTCCCAGCCCACAGAGGAATGAATTTCTTTCCTTTTTCTTTTTTTTCTTCTTCTCCTTTTTTTTTTTTTTTTTTTTTTTTTTTTTTTTTTTAATGAGACACAGTCTGGATAAATTGCTGAGACTGGCCTCAAACATACAATCCTCCTGCCTTGGCTTCCCCAGTTAACTAGGATGACAGGTGTGTACCTTGTGCCAGGCAGAATTCCTTCTTTAATGTTCCTCACAACTTCTACTTCCAAGAATGAGGCACCTACTGCTTCCCAAAAGTAAACCATTCCATTGTTGAACAATGAGAGTTCTTCCTCAAAGCCCAAGCTGGTTCCTACCAGTGAAGCTACAGATATTTAAGCACACCCCAAATAATAYACTTTGCAATATCTGTCTACTGTTACAGGTCTTCTTTATTGTAGGCCAAATACTTTGTTCTTTCWTGTGTTTCCCTATGGCATGATAAGATCCTTCAGTTTTGTCTCCCTTCTCAGGACAGTATTCTCACTGAAAGCTAATATAATTGTAGAGTAACAGAAACTCCACACACAGAACAAGGGAAATAACTGTCTACAGGACTCTGAAGCATTTGTTGAATAGTTGTGGTGGTTCCTAAATCTGCCTATATATCGTTATTATCTGGAGAGATTTGCTAATCCATATTCCCATCTGATGCCTCCAATGACTGAAGAGGTCTGGGTACAGAACTCCAGAATCCATTTAACAACACGCAGGTAGTCTCATGTAGTCAGTTTAGCCCAACACTGTGGAATGCTGTGCCTATTTCTTTTTCTTTTCTTTTTTTTTTTTAGTTATACACGGGCMCAATATCTTTATTTTGTTTATTTATTTTTGAGTGGTGCTGAGGATTGAACCCAGGGTCTCACACATGCAAGGCAAGTGCTCTACTGCTGAGCCACAACTCCGGCCCGCCCATTTCTTATTCTTTTTTTCTTTCTTTTTTAAATATATTTTTAGTTGTAGATGGACACAATACCTTTATTTTATTTTATTTATTTATTTTTGCGTGATGCTGAGGATTGAACCCAGTGCCTTACACGTGCCAGACAAGTGCTCTACCACTGAGCTACAGCCCTAGCCCCAGTCTTTTTGACTTCTCTATATAAGTTTTATTTCTGCTGACTTCTTATGAGCTTATATACCTAGTGTTCCTTGATGGCCTCCAAATTACTTTTTTCCCATCCTCTCTCCTAAACTTGACTCCTGTATCCTATTTAGTACTGCACACTTGCTATCAATAKGCACTTCAAAATCTAACACATCCAAATCTAATGTTAGTGTCCTTCTATTCCTGGCAATCTTCCCCATTTCAGTAAATATCAACTCAATTATTCCATTGCTTAAACCAAAAATTCTGACATCAACCTCTCTTTTTCATAACATATCACCAATTTGGAAGCAAATCCATATCTCTATCTTAAAAATATATCCAGAATTTTACCCACCCCCAATCCTCCACTGATGCCACCCTAGTCCATGCCATAATACCTCTTGACTGGAAGTCACAAAGTCTCTATTATAATCCCTTGTTATAATCTGTTCTCCACACAACAGTCAGTCATCTTTTTAAAATGTCAAATCAAGTCATTCATCTGCAGTGGCTTCCTCCCTCACTCAGAATAAATATCATGGCCTACAAGGTTATAAGGAGTCCTCCATGACCTCTTATCCAACCATTCTCCCACACCTCCCACCTGCCGATTGCTAAAGCACTACCAACTTCTTTGATTTTTTTTTTCAAAGAAATTTTCAATTATCTCAATTATTAGTTTTCACTTTTCAGTTTCATTGATTTCTGTTCTTATTTCTCTTTTTTTCTGCTTTGCTTTGAGCTTATTTTTCTATTTTCCCCCTTGTTTCTTAAAGTGGGAACTTGCTGATAAGACCTTTCTTCTTTTCTATTAGAAGCATTTAATACTATTAAATTTTCCTCCAATATTTCCCATAGTTTTATCCCACAAAATTTAATATTTTTTACTTTCATTTCCAACAGTTCAAATGTATACATACACAYATATTTTTGTGGGGATACCAGGGATTGAAYTCAAGGGCATTAGACCACTGAGCCCCATCCCCAGCTCTATTTTATATTTTATTTAGAGACAGGGTCTCACTGAGTTGCTTAGCACCTCACTTTTGCTGAGGCTGGCTGTGAATTCACCATCCTCCTGTCTCAGCCTCCCAAGCTGCTGGGATTACAGGCGTGTGCCACCACACCCTACATGTTCAACATATTTTCTGATCTCCCTTAACAACTTCCTGTTTAGTGAATGAATTGTTTTCAGTGGTGCTGTTTAATTTCAATGTATTTGGAGATTTTCCTGTTCTCTATTATTGATTTCTAGTTTAATTCCAGCATAATCAGAGAATATATTATGCATGATTTCAGTTCTTTTATATGTGTGAAGTGTATTAGAAACCTGGATATGGTTATTTCTTGGGGGATATTCTTTGTGCATTTGCATTTGAAAATAATGTGCATTCTACAGCTGTTTGGTGAAGTGTTCCAAAATTTTCAACCAGATCTCATTGATTGCTGGTATTAATTAAGTTCCTCTATAAATTTGATTTCCTGACTACAAGTTCTATTGAATACTGAGATAATTGTACTGAGGTCTTCAACTACAATTAGATTTTTAGTACTGGGTTTTTTGTTGGTTTGTTGGTTTTTGTTTGGGGTAATTAATGGCTGTTGAACCCAGGGGCCTATAAACACTAAGTCACATCCCAGCCCTTTTATTTTTTATTTTGAAACAACATCCCACTAAGTTATATAGCACCTTGCTAAGTTACTGAGGCTGGTCTCAAACTTGCAATCCTCCTGTTTCAGCCTCTCAAATCCTTAGGAATGCAGGCATGTGCCATCATGCCTGGTTTCTGGTAGTTTTTTTTTTTTTTTGGTTGTCAATGGACTTTTGTTTTATTCATTTATATGTGGTACTGAGAATTGAACCAAGTGCCTTATACTTGGTAGGCAAGCACTCTGCCCCTGAATCACAACCTTAGCCCCTTCTGTTAGTTTTTTTTTTTTTCCTTAAATATTTACTTTTTAGTTGTGGATGGACACAATATCTTTATTTATTTATTTTTATGTGGTGCTGAGAATCGAACCCAGGGCCCTGCACTTAGTAGGCGAGTGCTCTACTGCTGAGCCACAACCCCAGCCCCTTCTGTTAGTTTTTGATAAATGTACTCTGAAGTTCTTTTGTTATGTGCATATGCATTTGTACTCTTATGTCTTCTTGCTGAGCTATCATTATGTAATGTCTCTATGTTGGGCAGTTTTCTTTACTCTGAAGTATATTTTGTATGATATTAATATAATCACTTTTGTTTTCATGGTACTTCTTTAGCTATTCTTTTACTTTAGCCTAGCTATATCTATATCTATCTATCTATCTATCTATATCTATATCTATATCTCTCTCTCTATATATATATATTTGTGTGTGTGTGTGGTGCTGGGGATTGAACCCAGGGCCTTGTGCATGTGAGGCAAGCACTCTACCAACTGAGCTATATCCCCAGCCCTATATCATTATATTTGAAGTGAGTCCTTTTAAAAAATCCATTCTACTCATCTTTGTCTTTTTAAGAAAAAAGAATGTTGAAAAAATTCATTTAACATACAATTAATTCATTTAAAGTGATAAAATAAAATCATACTGCATTTGTGTATGTTTCAAAGATGCTATTTTATCATTTTGTCTCCTACTCTTCCTACCACACAGTCATCAGGTTTGGTCAGTTCTACCACAGAGGTATCTCAAATTCCCTCATTCCAAAGAAAACCCACTACTCATATGAAGCCATCCAGATTATTTCAAAGGCTTTCTATCAAATTAGTTGTAGCAAGTAATTACTGGCCATCTTTTATGAGATGACCACTTTACYAGGCCCTGGGATCACAAAAAATAATATATGACCCATGTCCTAAAAAGAAGTAGAATTCCAACAGAATGAGAAGTACTATAAGTAGGAGTCAGTAAAARGATACCATAGAAGAAAGACCTAATCTAGTTTGGGGACAGTCAGAAGGAGGTAATCAGAAGCTTCTAGAAAGTATGCAGGAATTAAGCAGAATGTAAAAGAAAGTATTTCAGACAAAGGAACACATATAGTCTCTAAGTCTTGCTTTCATATTGTTTTTAGAGTTAACTATCTGAGAGCAAATAGGGAAATATAGTATTTTGCCAGAATACAAGTCTAAATTCTTCTTCAGTTCAGCAAAGTAGGCCTTTTATAAAGTGGCTCCAGTCTACCTCTCTTAATATTTCCCTTCTTTAACACAGCCACATTCTCCCTCTTAAGTATGCTTTGCATAGCAACATTTGAACTCATTTGATAATACAACAAATGGAGGGTTTGGTACAAGAAAGCACTGACCTGTAAGATGGGCGCCGTGCTAGGATCCCGTGAGCTTTCTGTGAGGAGCCTATGCTGTCAGATGAGTCCTGAGACTCCTCACTTTCCGATAAAGATGATACCTAAAAAACAGAACTAGTTTAATATGATGAAGAATACAGATGGAAAAAGATTTGAGTCTTTACTTTTAAAAAATGTCTCCTGGGCGGGGTTTGTGGCTCAGCGGTAGAGTGCTTGCCTAGCATGTGTGAGGTTTGATTCTCAGCACCACATATAAATAAATAAAAATAAAGGTTCACTGACAACAACAACAACAACAAAAAACCCAAAACCCAAATTCATATACATATTAAATCTAAGGTCTAAAAAAAAAAAAAGGAGCAAAAGGAAAAAGGGAGAAAGTTTATTCAAGGAGCCCAAACTAATGAAAGGAGTAAATATAACACAGTAGACCCAGAGTTAAAAATAAAGTCTAGGGGCTGGGGATGTGGCTCAGCGGTAGCGAGCTCGCCTGGCATGCGTGCGGCCTGGGTTCGATCCTCAGCACCACATACCAACAAAGATGTTGTGTCCGCCGAGAACTAAAAAATAAATATTAAAAAAATAAATAAATAAATAAAGTCTATCGCCCAAATACAAACAATACTATTCTACTAGAGCTTAAGACTACTCTGTGATCTCAATCTCCATCCTATTTCTACAACAATAATCAAAAATATTTTTGTTTCATTTACTAAGTCACTAATGCTACTGGATTTGGATTTTTGGACATGATAAATTTGAAAAGCCTATTATGTCCAACTGCCCACACTGAGCAGTCTACGAATCAGGGAAGAGGTTGTGGTGGATAACATAAATTTGAAAGGCACAGCTCTCTGGAGTTCATAAAGTCATAAGATTAGATAAGCTCATTAAGGATAAATATAAAGAAGAGAATCAAGAACTAAATCTAGGAACATTAAGAGATTGTAAAGAGGAGTGTGGGGAGCCATTCTCACACGTGATCGGGTGCCTCCCSTTGAGGGTCTGAGGCACTTTGGCAAAAGTCGAAGTTTTTCCCGGCCCTTTCCTGATGAGAGAGCCCATCCGTGTGGGGGTGTGCCTGACCACTGACCCCAGGGACCCAATCGCTGACCCTGACCTTGGAGTGCAGCCCCCCCTCAACCTTCATTGGATGGAATTCTCCCCTGAATCTCTTGTTCCCTAATAAAAGGCTACTCCCCGTCGTGCTTGCTCTCTCTCTCCTGCTAGCCCTGAGTAATCCTTGCTGCCCTGCTGGGCGGCTAGAGGAGCGAACCAGAGAGGGGAGCCRTCTNRGACCTAGCAATAGAATTAAGGTAATTGAGTCTTGTGTTTTTATTTCGATCTCGTCTAACTAACTTTATGCCTAGAACCTCATTAATGAAACCACTGCGCAGGCCGMGTGGTAGAGAGGAGGAACCAGCAAATGAGAACCAAATAAGTGCAGTCATAGGAAAACTAATGTAAAGAAAAAGAGATATATCATAAGCTGTTTACAGGTAAAACAAGGACTGAGAGTAGATGATTAGATTTAGCAAGGTGGAAGTGACTACAAAGGCAGATACAATCTGAAGATCTGTAGTAATCAGCTTTATCTTATTTTACAATGAAATGAGTTAAAACAAGTAAAGCCCTTAATGTATGGCACATGCACAATACATATTTTTTAACAAATATAAATACTTTTAAAACTAAATACAACAGGCAAGTTTCAAGTTATAGCAATATTTTATAATCGGAAAAAAAATTATTTTCAGTCTTTAAATGTATTAAATTCCCCAACATTTGTTCAAACCAGGAGTATGATACCTGACTTAATCTTCATTTTAAAAAATAAAATGGTCCAGCACTGTATATGTAGATTAGTGATACAGTGCTTGCCTAGCATGTGCAAGRCCCTGGGTTCAACCCCCAGCTCCGCAGAAAAATAAAATTAAATAATCCCAACAGACTTGTGGAAGAAACATAAGATTTCAGTTCTCTAGGTTAGTTAATTATCTACATAAAACCTTCCCCTAAACTATTTAGACTTAGACATTAAATTTCTAGAGAAGTTTGTACTATATTTTTTCATCTTCAAAAGTTCTACATATAACTACTTATTTATATCTYACATTGTCTCTATCTTCTGACAGAAATCGAAGAACTAGCTACAACTAGATAAATTAAGAAATAGTAATAGAAACAATCTAAAATGAAAAAAAAATCTATCACTGTCTTGTCTTCAAGCATCACAGACATTCCATTTCTAATCTAAATCTTTAGCTATTTTCACTATTTGTCTGACAGTTTACTCAAGACCTCTCACTAACCTCAAGTAAGAAAACAATTTCTAAACTGAGGTATTCCTTGTAACTAAGATCCAGTAGGTATTTCTCTTTGGTGAAAACACCAGAAAATAATAATTAAAACCTTCACATAAAAACTCCAAATTCAACATAGCCACCACCTTTTATACAGGTGCACTCAATCAAGATGCGCTCCAGAGTGACAACACTGCCAGTCACTATATATTCAGGAGGAAAAGATGAAACAGCTTTTCTTTCCATATAGCTGCTTCTAAAACTGACAGAAGACCATTGGTATTTTCAGATTCATAGGGGCYAGAAGATAAAATGGAGAGAAAATAGAAAAAAAAAGGGGGGAGACCAGGGTGGCCCCTTCATTCCTAAAGTTGCCAGTATTAGTAATGAAGTTAGATACAAATTCCTCTACTCGAGAGAAAACTCTCTTATTTAACCTCTAAAAAGCCTCAAGCCTAAGATACTTTTTTTTACTTTGCTAAGGCTCTCAAATCATTACCTTTGCTTCACAAGTTCCTTCATGAGGATACCACTTGGATAAAAGGGTTTTAAGACAGTTTCATTTCCTAAAATTCTTAAGCAATAAAACTTCCCCCAAAATTGTTTTCTAATTTTACTGGGAAATATATACATGGAATTAGAAATTCTAAAACATTTCTATTTGCCTCATTTGGTGTGCAGTCTACCTAATTTCTAAGACAACTTTGTTGTATTGGTTTGTCATATTGTAACTTCAGCAACTTGAATGTCTGAAGACTTAGGGTATAAAGGTCCCCATGTTTGACCACTGTCTTCAAATTTCTGTACCGTTTGCACATGTGGTGGGTGAATTACAGAAGAATGAGCTGCCTGGATGACCCCCTGAACCTGTACTTGCTTTCCAGGAAGAGGTACAATTGTCACTGGCGAAGATCCTCTTAATGACATCTAAGAACAAATAAAAATTCAATTAACAAAAAATATATTGTACCTATGCACATAAGACAGCTGAGATCTTAATACTGGAAAACACATTTAATCACATGTATTACCAAGCATCAGGTACAGCCTGTACACCAGAGACTAAACTAGGAGGTGAGTGTACAAACTAATTTTAACAAGTAGAATAAGAGTTGTAATACAGGAAAAGTAGAAAGTACTGAATTGTGGAAGCAAAGAAAGAATATTAACTTCAGCTGGGTCTTAAAGGACAAAATTCCCAGAGAGTATGTATGTAGATAAAGAAGGGCAGGAGGACTAGAAAGGTATTTCAGACWGAGGAACTGATTGCAAAAACATGGAGGGATCTTTAGAACACATTGTTCTGAGGAGATGTRGTTGAAAACCAACTAAGAAATCAAGAGTCCAAGTGACAGAAATTCCAACTTTGGGCAGTCTCTTGAAATATAAAATAAAATATTTTGAGTAAATGATTTAATTTATTAAATCATTTACTTGAAATAAAAACTAATTTATTCCTATGGAAATCTGATGAGGGTTCATGAGAATACATGACAAAATCCTAAACTATGAAGTCTACCCACTATTCTTCAAGTCACCTTGAAAGACAATTCAGTTACTGACAAAGTCAACTCTACTTTGTTCCTTTCTGACTCCATTTACCTTTCTACRCCTTCTTTCTACGCCTTTTCTTTTTCTTCCTCTAAGCCACTTTCTTCTGCAGTTACATTGTATTCTAGGAAGTATAGACCTGCTAAATAAGTTTCTTTAGAACAAGGAACCAAAACTATCCCCAGGCAACAGCAAGCCTTGCAGAACAGATCACCCCACGATAAGCTTGCCCCATTAAATATCCCAGTAAAAGAACCAAGGCTGGCTCCGTGCAGGAGCAATCATCTCACCATGGGAACCAAATTACCCCTCTCAGAGTGATGACCTTCCCAGAGTTTCACAGAACCAGTCATGAAAAAAGGTTCAACAGGGCTGGGGATGTGGCTCAAGCGGTAGCGCGCTCGCCTGGCATGCGTGCGGCCCRGGTTCGATCCTCAGCACCACATACAAACAAAGATGTTGTGTCCGCCAAAAACTAAAAAAATAAATATTAAAATTAAAAAAAAAAAAAAAGGTTCAACCAAACCATGGCTTGACCAGTATGATTTCCTCTGTCACCTATACAAACGCTCCAGCTACGCAAGATACCAACCCTAGCCTTTAATTCCATTTTTTATAAAATCTCCAAGTTTCTGTCAATCCCTTGAAGATAGATCTTTGGTCACTATACCCCCATGAGGTATTCTTTGTATGGCCACACCCATTAAAAGTTCCTTTTCTTGAGGCTGGGGTTGTAGCTCAGCGGTACAGTGCTCGCCTAGCATGAGCAAGGTGCTGAGTTATATCCTCAGCACCACATAAAAATAAATAAATAAAGGTATAAAAAAATTACAAAAATCTTAAAAAAAAAAAAGTTCCTTTTCTGTCCTTCATTGTTGCTAGTGTCTTTGATTGGTATATTAGGACAGATGGCTGATCCTGGTTTGTTGGGAACACTTTGCCCAAGGTTGCCAGTAAACAGTTCTACCCCTTTTTCTTTCTTTGTACCCAGGATTGAACTCAGGAAAATTTAACCACTGAGCCAGATCCCCAACCCTTTTTTTGTATTTTATTTACAGACAGGGTCTTGTTAAGTTGCTCAGGGCCTCATTAAAGTTGCTGTGGCTGGCTTTGAACTTGTGGTCCTCCTGCCTCAGCCTCCCAAGCCACTGAGATTACAGGCATGTGCCACTGTGCCCAGCACCTCTACCTCTTTCAAGAAGATTTCTCAGATATTTTTTCTTATCTTCCTTGGACAACTCTAGTTCATACATTCCTCTTGGCTTAAATCACAAACTAAAATTCTAGGCTGTGAAAGTCACCTTCCTGAAATATGCCTTTTTTCTTTCTTGGCAATGGACCCAAAGAATAAGAATAAACAATTCACAAATCTTAAGTCCAGCTGTACAGTTATCATTATACTCAAAAATAATAAAAGATCCCCTTACCTTTCAGACCCCAAGCGAAGCCATTCAATTAATAGAGAAAGCTTATAATGAGATTAATTTTCAATTCTAAAAGATTAAGAGCCATCATTTCTAAAGAGTTTCTGGCAATCCATGTACACTGTGGGTCTGGCAAATGGAAAGGAAAAAAATAGGGACCAGATTTTGCTAATAGCTGTCCCTCACCCTTATTAACACTATTCTTCCAACCTCACAAAATGCTCATTACTCAGGGTCTCAAAGTCCACACCCTTCTGACACTCACTCTGAAACCTGATAATTTAAATTCTAAGAGACTTCTCAAGGGAAGAAGCTGGTCCTGAGCCAGGCAATGTAGTGCACTCCTGGAATCCCAGTGACTTGGAAGGCTCAGGCAGGAGGATCACAAGTTCAAGGCCAACCATAACAATTTAGCAAGGCCATAAGCAACTTAGTGAGACCCATCTCAAAATAAAATAAAATTTAAAAATAAATTAACCAATTCAATAAAATGAGTAGCCAGCCATGATGGCACACRCCAGTAATCCCAGTGGTTCTAGAGGCTGAGGTAAGAGGATGGTGAGTTCAAAACCAGCCTCAGCAACTTAGTAAGGCCCTATCTGTAAATAAAATGTAAAAAAAGGCTGGTGGGGCTGGGGATATAGCTCAGTTGGTAGAGTCCTGTCTAGCATTCACGAGGCCCTGAGTTCAATCCCCAGCACCACTACCATAAAAAAAAAAAAAGGCTGGGGATGTGGTTCAGTGGTTAAGTGCCTTGGGTTCAACCCCCAGTACCAAAAAATAACAAATACAGTATGATTACTTATCCATGTTAATATCAAGTGCTTGAAATGTGGCTGGTGTGATTTTTAAATGTATGTAAGCTTAACTAATTTAAATTAAAACTAAGATACCAAATTGTGGCTAATGGCTACCACAGTGAAAAGTGAATTTTTCATCTCGAGAATTGTGGAACCTACTGGCATATTGTGGATGACCCCAGAACTCCTTTGAAGAGATAAATGAAAAATTAGAAAGGAAAGGATTTTTTAAGAGCTTCTAAATTGGACTAAAGCCCTGATTTTTCTCATACTCCGTGGGATACCTGAACTTAAAATGTTCTCCCTAGCTAGCTAATTGGGTAACCTAMGATGGTAAATGCTTGGGTAAGGAGGTAGGGCAGGGAATTTGTAGAATGTCATAAGAAAGAAGCCTCTTCAGCCAGTGTTTGAATCCAAGTTCCAGAAAAGCATACAGGATTTGGAGCCTGATAAGGCAGGACTATTTCTCAGCTAAAGGGCACTCACTAGCCTTTGTGATGCTTATCAAATCACTTACCCTTTCAAGGCCTAAGTTTCTTCCTTTGTAAAAAGAACTAGTACTATATTTTTCACAGTTATTATAACAACAATTAAAAGAATAATAAAAGCAAAATGGGAAGGTAGGGAAAAAAAGCCTACATCTATATGTTTCTTATTTGGTTCCTGTTTCAACAAGGTGTTAAAAAATGTGTGTTGCCTATGTGTCCTATAAATAACAGGAAAATTTAAGAACTGTATGGATATTTCATATTATCTTTTTATTTTAAGTATAATAATAAAGTTATGGTTATGTTCTTTAAAGGAGTCTTTATATTTTAGAGATACATATGGACATACTGAAAGCCAAAATGATAAATCTAGGATTTACTTTAACATCATTCAGCCAGCAAGAGGTGGGGGCACGAGACAACATAAAATACTAATTACTGAAACTGGGTGATGAAAACCATGATGGTTCAACCTAATTATCTCTGATTCGCAATAGGTTTGAAAATTTCCGTAAGTTTTTGAAAAGGACCAACAACAGTAAACACTAAGTTGCTGGTCCTGTCTGGCTCCAGAGCCCAGTGTTCTTTCCATGATCTCTTATGCCTCCAGTTGCCAATCAGGACGTTTTTACAGCCTCTCACTTGGTATTGGTCAACAGGCATGCCTGAATGCTAAACAAACAACTGTTCAGTGAATTAACTAATTATCTCCCCAATTAAAGACACTAAGCAAATTTCTACAATTTCTTCTGGGTATCTTTTTGATTTTTCCAACTTGAAAGATGTAAAGATTTATATTTCCTCACTTAGAATATTTGTCCAATTTTTCATTTTGCACCAAGTAACAATAAAGGGGGGACACAGATGATATGCTAACTTTCCTAGCTTCCTTAAGCCTATATGGCCAGGGAAAAATGTTTTCTACTTTAAGTTTTGGTAGGCCCATTCTCACTGTTGACAATTCATCTTGTTCCAGTCAGTGCCCTCTCAAATGAGAAATCTAATATCTTTGAATACAATACCTTAAAATAAAGCTGCAAAACAGCTGAAAACAAAGAGAAAACTCTAAAAACATACATAGCTGGGTCTCTTCTCCTATTAGAGTAGAATTAGTACGCATTTTATACAATCTCTTCCAGAAATGACAAGGGAATATTTTCCAACTAATTTTATGAGGACAAATAAATTACCAAAAAGAAAAAGAAAACCACAGACCAATARCTCTTATAAATTTCAATATAAAAATTATCAACAAAATATTAGCAAATTAAATCCAGTAACATATAAAAAAATGTCATGTCCAAGTGCAGTTTATTCCAGGTATGCAAGGCTGGTTCAACATTCGAATATCTATGTAACACAACACATCAACAGGCCAAAGAAGAAAAAAAATTCGTAAGATTGTACCAACTGCTGTACAGAAGATATTTGAGAAGTACAAAATTTCTTTTCAAGACAGGGTCTTGGTATGTTGCCCATGCTGGTCTCCAACTATGAGCTCAAGCAACCCTCTCACCACAGCAGCTGAGACTACAGGTATGTATCACATGCCCAGCTCTAACATCATTCCATTTAAAAAACAAAACAAAAACTCAGAAAACTAGGAATAGATGGGAATTTCCTTAAACTCAGAAAGTAAAAACCTAGCTGACATCACACATAAT